TTTTGTGTTACGCTATTGTGCGAAAAGTAAGGAAATATCTATCTATCCCTTACTTACCTTTTGACCTCTCAGTCGATTTGTCGCTGTAACCGAAATTGGTTATGTTATTTGTCCACGCGCAGGTGCGCGTGCGCGCGTATTAGCTTAAGTCATACGAATAAAGAAGTTGTGATTTGTAAAAAGGAAAAACTCAATATGAATTAATAAGTGATGTGATAATAGTGGTAGTAGCTTAAGAACCTAGGAATAGTAACACCAATTAACTATAGGTACAAATAAATGTAAATTAATATTTGCTAACATCAAATCTAATGAGATTTCGGCAACTATCTAATCTAATATAAAGCTTTGATAACCCTTATTGGTCACATTTTTTTATTATAGAACAGTAGGCAAGCGGGCTCACCTGATTTTAAGTGACACAAGGACTCTTACAATGCCAGAGGGATCGCGAGTGTGTTATAGGTCGGTTATCGAAAGCTGGCGCGTTCACAGTACTCACACTAATGCAATTTCACTATACAGTATGTTTAAAAATATTACTTTTTTGCCAAGCTATATATTTTAGTCTACTCTGGTTTTAGTAAGGTTGGGTGGGTTGTAAATAAATAAAAATGTGTCAAATACATATAAATATTATGTGCATACGAGGGTGGATCCAAAAGTTCTAAGCCCGACCAAGAACGTATAAGAGTAGTTTGTGTAAATAATTTTTCATTTTTCGACATAAGCTCCATCTAGATCAACACACTTCACTTTTACTTCACTAACTATTCTTTCAATACTCCTCTTAGAAACCCCAGTCGCATCTGATGTCAAATTAAATATAACATTTTTTCATTAAACTGTTTTTATTAAGATGCTTAAAATAATTAAAAACATTGTGCACCATTTCACGAGATTGCCCTGGTAATTGTTTGAAAAATGATCAACATGTATAAAATAATAATAATATAAAACAGTAAAGATCAACATAAACAGTAGCAAAAGAAAAACAATAACTGTCTCTTTTATACTCATAAGCTTGACCGAGCGCGAGAGAGACGGACAGTCTTTTCGTGATGTATTTGTGATTGTATTTCAGTTTGACATCACGTCTCGCGCTTATTCACAGACACTACACAAGTACAAAGTGTAAATGTGTTGAAGCCGCCAGCTTTAGATAACATACCTATACCGTTCTTATGAATTGGTACGCTCCTTTATTGAAGTACCCTAAGTAGAGGAGTTTTTTTCGGAGTTACAGTGGTCAGCTGGTCCCATAAAATGGTGGTTCGCGGCAATAAGTTTTGGAACGACGGACTTTAAGGTAATACGGATGGAACTTCGTATTCTGCCTCGACCTCCGTCGTTCTCTCTTATACTTAATACTGTTTTAATAATAGGTGGCAATTTAAGTCGGCAACGCACTAGCGAGACCTGGCGTCTCAATGGGCGCCAATATCAATTAACATTAGATGAGCCTCCAGCAGGTTTGCCCCCTGTTCTATAAAAAAAGGATTCTTACCGACTCTGATAATCCGAGCTGACTTGGTATGAAGCAGTAATAAGTCCGTTGACCACAAAGTCCACAGGAACCAGGTCAGCTGTGACGTCTTTGTCGCATTGCATCGTACGAAGCATTCCTGTCACTTTAGAAAAAGGAACCTTTAAATGGCTGTTGAGCAAAAAACATTATATATTTTACTAGCTGACCCGGCAAACGTTGTTTTGCCTGTATATTATTTCTAGGAATATTTTTTTAGTGTAAAAAATAACTATCTACTATAATAAAAATAGAGGTTGATTGTAGAGGGGTGAAAATTAAGGGTTGTATGTATTTTTTAATGCCACAAAATAAAAAAATGTGTTATCCAAAAAATTCAAAAAAATGGTTTTTGGGTGGACACCTCTTGTCACTTAGGGGTTTGAAAGATGGATAGTAGCCGATTCTCAGACTTGCGAATATGCATAAAATTTTTTCATAAGAATCAGTCGAGCCGTTTCGGAGGAGTATGGGAACGAACATTGTGACACGAGAATTTTGTATATTAAGATTAACCCGTACTCTGTTACTTCCAATATCGATTGCGATTCCGAAGTTTTTGTATGTAGTTCTCTCAATATCCGTAGTGCTATCTCCTTGGAATCGCAGGGAAAACCTCAAGAGTTTGAGAGAGTTCGCTGTTGGTATCGCTCTGGAAGTTACAGAGTAAGAGTTTTGATACACTTGTTAATGCAATGGCAAACTAAAAATATATAGAACTGATCCGTCCTACTACCGATTTTTTGAAGTTTCACATTAAAAAGTTGAAAAAATATATAGAATATATAGGCTACACAATTTAAAATCATAACAAAAAATACCATAAATAAAGTAACGAGGGCCGTTAGAATATTTTCTTGTGTTTTGTTTTTGTTTGCCATAACACGTTTAGGCAATATCTGGAACAAAATTAGTCTGATACGGGCTCTAGTATTCTCTATCATGCTATATGGAGTACTAAGTGGACTATCTTGGCTTGATTAAGGCAAAAGATTCATGCCTTTGACTTTCGTCTTCTTCTTTGGAATGCGCACCAATACATCGATCCTGACCCATCTCCGCATATAATTACAAAATGCCCAGAGGCGATAATAACTTGGAGAAACTGAACGTGGTTGGTAGCGTGTAAGAGGTCAAAAGATTCCTTGTTAACCACGACGCTGAGACATGAGCTACCGACTGAAGAGTGAGAGAGAGTTTGCGTCGTAGCTTTTGCATATTTCCGCACTTAAAGGAACCTCAAAATAAAAAAAAAACAATATTAACCGCGCTTAAAGTCGATGCCGTAGTCAGGATTTTTTAAAGGGATCAGGACGGGATCAGTCTTTTAGCTTTAGGAATAATAAATATATAAATCAGTGGCGCTACAACCTCTTTAAGTCTTGGCCTCAGATTTCTGAATCTGTTTCATGATCATTTTTTAAATCTAATAGGCAAGTGGGTGATCAGCCTCCAGTGCCTGACACACGCCGTCGACTTTTTGGGTCTAAGAGATGTCGGTTTCCTCACGATGTTTTCCTTCACCGTTCTAGCAAAATGTTAAATGCGCACATAGAAAGAAAGTCTATTGGTGCACAGCCGGGGATCGAACCTACGAGAGTCGCACGTTGCAGTCACTAGGCCAACACTGCTCCCTTGCTTTAGGAATACGTCGAAAATAATTGCGTCATACTAATTATCACTTTGTAGACTAGAGTACAAGTCCTTTTAAACTAGTGGTTTCATATAATTCATATGTTTAAACTCACCACTACCCACAGCGACACCTGTCGGCCCATACATATTGTCCAACCAGCACTTGAGCGGCTCCTTCACTGTTGACGTTACTGAAAAAATAAAAAAAATAAAATTAATATTTAACATAATATTAGGTTGGGGAAAAAGTCTTTTCGCATTACAGTATGTATGAACTTGTAATAAAATCTCTTTGGCTATAATCTATATGGATCTGGCTGGTTTTGTTATCAAGGAATGTTGAGATATTAAAGAAGATAATTCCAAAATCAAATTAGGATAATGTTTGTTTTTGGAACGAAGTTCCTTATCGCGCGTTGTGAAAGGGGGCTAGACGGAAAAAATTCTTACGAAAAGTTGTCACGACACTTTTTTGCTATTTGCTATTGAAATACATCGGTTCTCGTCCGATCACCGAAGTTAAGCAACATCGGGTGTGGTCAGTACTTGGATGGGTGACCGCCTGGGAACACCTCGTAATGTTGTTTTTTTTTTCGCAGCGATAAGTGAAAATTATTTTTGGAATCACTTAACTAAATTAGTCGTAGTAAATGTACACCAGAACGGGGTCCCTAGTTTCCTTGCAATTTTTTTCAATATAATACCTTTAATAAATAAAAAAACAATGTTTTAGGAAAATGTCATAAATTTCTGCAAATTCAAAAATTAGTGAACTAATATCACAACGAGAACAGCTTATACAAGGAGATGAACCAGATGAGACTAAATTAAAATATCTGAACCACGAAATACAAAATATGCTTATTAATTGTGCCACTTAATTTATATTTTGGTTATTTTACTATTTAATCGCTGCGTAGCACAACGACATCATCCTTCTTCCTCTTTTAGATTCCTGGTCTCTTTAAACTTTAATAGACGATGAAATATAAGATTGGTGTCGAGAAAATCTATCATACTGTTATGATACCAATTAACATATAAATTAATCGAAAGGCACTTCGTTCCATCCGGGTGTCCCTTGACACCTCTCAAGTTTTTTATTTATTTATTTTTCGTACCGTCAAGATGAGTGAATCGAATGAAGAAATTCGATACATTTTAAAATTTTACTACAAAAAAGGTCAAAATCCAACACAAGCTGCGAAAGAAATTTGTGATGTTAATATGGCCCTAGCGCAGTGTCTGTGACAGTAGCACAAATTTGGTTAAGGCGTTTTCAATCCGGAAATTTTGATGTCAAAGATCCAAGTCGCTCTGGTCGCCCTGTGACGGAGAAAATGGATGCCATTTTTGAAAAAGTGGAGCAAGATCGGCATATCAGTAGTTAAGACGTAGCTGAAGAACGGGGAATTGACCACAAAAAAGTTTTGGCGCATTTGAAAAACACTGGGTACACAAAAAAGCTCAATATTTGGGTACCTCACGAGCTCACTGTAAGAAACCTAATGAACCGAGTACTCATTTTTGATTCTTTATTACGACTTAATAGAACCGAACCATTTTTGAAGAAGCTGACAAATGATAATGAAAAGTGGATCACGTATGACAAGAACGTGCGAAAAAGGTCGTGGTCAAAGGTCGGTCAGGCTTCCCAGACTGTGGCGAAACCCGGGATAACTCGCAACAAGGTGATGCTGTGTGTGTGGTGGGATTGGAAGGGCATTATTCATTATGAGCTGTTACCACCAGGCAGGACCATCGATTTTGAACTCTACTGCGAACAACTGATGAGATTAAAGCAAGACGTTGAGAGAAAGCGGCCGGAATTATTCACCAGAAGGGGTGTGGTTTTTCATCATGATAACTCAAACTCAAACTCAAACTCAAAATATCTTTATTCAAGAGGGTAACCAAGTACACTTTTGAATCGTCAAGTTAAATTAATCGTAAATTTACATTTACTACCAGTTCGCAAGTCAAGGGCGTAGAGCGGGTAAGAAGAACTGGCAAGAAACTTTCCGCCACTCTTTTTAATCGCCAAGTATTGTCATACAAATTGTTTGAACTGGAGCAATTCAATCCCAAGGATTAGGATCATTTAAGTAGTCCTCAAATTTATAAAAAGCTTTGTTGATTAATTTTCGTTTAACGAGGGCTTTGAATTTATTTAGTGATAATTCTCTAATTTCGCTTGGGAGTTTGTTGTAAAAACTAATACAATTTCCATATAAGGAGTGGTTTATCTTTTGGAGCCTGGTTGGTCGTACACTCAAATTAGTTCTATTTCGCGTATTATACTGGTGAATGTCACCATTTGTTTTAAAATCGTTTATATTTTTTTGGACATACAACAAGGCTTCAAGAATATATTGACCAGATAGTGTCATAATATTTAATTCCTTAAACTTATTCCGTACCGACTCCCTCGGAGAAACACAACAAATACCCCGAACAGCCCGCTTCTGCAGCACAAATATGGATTGAACCTCTGCAGCAGCACCCCACAGTAAAATGCCGTACGACATAACGCTATGAAAGTAGCTATGATACAACGCTAGACCTCACACATCTTTAGCCTCTCAGCAAAAACTAAGAGAGCTTGGCTGTGAGGTGATAATGCATCCGACGTATAGTCCTGACCTTGCACCTTCAGATTTCCACCTGTTTCAGTCTCTTCAGAATTCTTTAGCCAGTGTCAGGTTAACATCACGAGAGGACTGCCAAAACCAATTGTCACGGTATTTTGATCAGAAACCCCAAAATTTCTGTAGCAATGGGATCATGTCCCTACCTAAATGATGGCAAAAAAATATCGAACAAAATGGTACCTACATACTTTAGTTAAATGTAAATAAACTATTTTAAAAAATGTTTTGAATTTTCTTAAAAAATGCGAAGAAACTTTTTCCCCAACCTATTATATATGTGTCACTGGAAGATAACAAAATCCGCAAGTTTATAAATTTCTTAGGAAATTTTAACTTTCGTAAACGAGAGATAAATTGTATTATTTTACGCCCAAGTTACCAATAGCGGGCCTGAAGATTCCAAGCGGCACTCCCGCGCAGGATTTTCGGAGCTCCTTCTCGGTGAGTGCCTTCGTGAATGTGTACGTGTTTGGCCATTTTCCGAGGATTCTGAAAAATAAAATATAATACAAAAGTTTCCTATTTATTTTATAGAACAAAGGCAAGTATCAAATAGTAGTTTTTCGTATTTTACTTTACTTATTATTTATGTTTCCCAGTATGGTTTATACTGGGAAACATAAATTCCCTGAACTTCCACAAATATTCCAAGATCAAAATAAGCCAAATTGGTCCAGCCATTCTCGAATTTTAGCGAGACAAACACAGCATGCTTTTCGATTAAGTCGTTACAGTAGAACTTACCTTTAATTAGTATAATAGATTTATATTTTTTATATAGAACAAACGGGCAGTAAGATAACTAATCAATTAACTAATTATTATTATTATTTTTAATCTAACCCGTTGTTAAGTGATTTCTCCGCCCATAGACACTCTGAATACCAGAGGGCTCGGCGTTGCCGGGCTTTTAAGAATTGGTACGCGCTTTTGAAGGACCCTTACTCGAATTGGTTTGGAAATCTTTCAGTGTGTAATTCCACATAGTGGTGGTGCGCGGCAGAAACTGCCTTAAAAACGCTCAGTTTTGGAACGTCGGACGTCGAGGTGATCCGGGTGGAATGATAAAATGATAAAGAATACATAAATGCATATTATTTTTCTAATTTTGCTATTCCTAAATTCAGGAAAGATTTGTATGAAATATAAATAAATAAATATATATAAAAAAAATCTGTATATTATTACTCACTGTGGCAATGCGTCATTGATTTGGTTGTCTGTCAGCTTGTCTATCATCTGCTGGAGGTGTAAACAGTCGGCCTCTATTGGGTAGAATTTTTCTTCTATACTCGAGAGATGGGAGTTTGAATACGCTGTGGATATGTGCATGAAGACCTGAAAGCATTTGAATTTTCAGAAGACCTTTCATCTTATTCAAAGTTTGTGATATTTTTTAATAGAGTTGATATCGTATCGGCAAAAAGGCGTATCCCTACTTTAGACCATTCTTTTGTTCTTATTGCGAGGGAAAGGTTATTTTGGATCATTAAGGGGATATTATGTCCGAGGAAAGTGAAGGAAGAAATTTCACACAAAATTTGTTTTTAACATTCAATTATTAAATCAACAATATTTATTTAATTATTTTGTGGCATGTAACCGATTATAAAGTGGCGCTACAACCCTTGGTCTTGGTCTCAGGTTTATGTATCTGTTTCTGTTTTTCATAGGCTGATCACCTACTATGTCTGACACACGCCGCCGATTTTTCGGTATAAATTATGCCAGTTTCCTCACGATGTTTACCTTCACCAGCGAGTAATCTTCCACCACCATTAAACCAAACACCAAAAGTATACCTTCAGGCCCTTCATTTCCCTGGCCAGTTGAAGTAAATATAACGGCGCCTGCACATTTGTGACCAACGCAGCGCGGAGATGCTCATCGAACTTGACCGTCGCTGCCGAATGGAAGATTACGTGAACCTGGAAGTATAAAATGTATTTTTCAAAATAATTCCTAACTCCGCATTCCAGAATGTCAATCAAACTTATATCGAATTTCAAGAGCTGTGAAACCATTTTCATGTATGAAGTTTGACACATTTGACAGCGCTCAACATGTGATTGTGACTTGATATACGAATATGTACCTAAGATCGAAACAGCCTTAATGGATCTAATAGGTCATTTGTTTGTGTAAGAGTTAACCGACATGACTCTCTCATCACCTCCTGTTGAATGATTTTTGACTTGACAACATCTAATAAATGTATGCACACGCCGCGCGGCTGCACACACGAAAAAGTATGACTCTTGTCCCGTTACGCTCATTGTACGCTTGCGCCGCATCTATCTCTCTTACTCTCGATTAGCCTATGCGTCCGAGGATTCACTCCTTCTTTGTGTCCGTACAAACCGAACCGGAACCGGATAAACACCGGATGAACCGGATAAAGCTCTTCTATGAAATATACAGTTTTAAGAATATTTTACGATGTAAGTATAATAAAATGTTTAGAGAGTTTTTGTACCTTTTCAACAATAGTCTGCCTATGATGTATGCTCAAGCCCAAGCCTGGTGCTTCGCAGTCAGCCGGGATGACGACAACTTTATGTCTGAACTTCGGTACCTCCTCCTTTAGGCGTTTGAACATCTGAAAATAAAGATTATTAATGTATCTATTTTGAATGGGAATGGGCATATATGGGCATTGATATCTTCGTATTGAACCTATTGATGAGCTGAGAAATGATTTAAGAAGGTCCAACATAACGATCTCTATCAAGTTCTTTTTGTAACATATTTTAGATCAATAGAAACTTAGATAACAATTATATGTAAATAAAATAATGAAATAAATGTAAAAAGTTTGGTCTGTGTGAAAAATTACGAATATTCTACAATTGCGATTACAGAATATGGTGACAGCTTTTTGTACCAATTGATAATTCGACGGAAGTCAAACTCTAGTAATAACACCAAAGAGTCAAGACATTTTCGATCGAGCCAATCTGTAGGAAGACCTATTAAAAATAAATACATAACCATGAGTCGAGGCTAAAAGTATAGCGTTAAAATTTATGTTAATAAGCCGTAAATTGACGAACAGCCCTGTTATATTTTTAACTACATACTGTAAATACTAAATATATTACAAGTATCGCAATACAGCGAGGAAATACCGCCAGCATTAATGGTACACCGCCACAGGGACCACACATTTTAAGTTTGTTTTATTATTTAATCATTCTTAGCAATTATTGTTACAGGTTAAGAATATTGTAAATACCGAATATTTGTGTTAGAAAAAATATTTTTTTAATACAATACTGCTATTTGTAAAATATTTACGAAAGCATTTTTTTATAGAACAGTTTTGTATAAGTAACGTAAATGTTTACAATAGCCGCAGCAGTCCGACAGTTCTCACAATTTATTTACTAAAAATTGTATTTGAATTTACACATAGATAAAGATTTATCTATACTTAATATTATTAAGAGGAAAGGTTTGATTTATTGTTTGTTTGAAATGAATAGGCTCCGAAACTATTGGACCGATTTCAAAAATTCTTTCACCGTTGGCAAGCTACACTATCCCGAGTGACATAGGCTATGTTTCATTTTCAAAAAAATTAGGGATGCTTACTAAAACTTGAATAATCTAACCCAAGGTGTAAAAAAATAAACAAAAAACTTCCTTCAATCGCGTGCGCTGCGAAAACTATTAATGAAAGAATAAAATGATGTACTAAAATTTTTCAGGACTATATTATAGTGATGTACTACTTTTTAATTAAAATACCACCGCTAGAAAAGGCGCTTTATTCGTACCTAGGTATTGATCCTTATCAAAATAAATACCAACGTTTCACATAAGCTACATTTTAATGGCATAACCACCAAAAAAACATGGTGGATTGGTGTTCTCCTGCCGTTTCTCTTGAATAGTTTACTACTATGTAATATTATAACAAAAATCTTAGCCACAGCAACGCTTGGCCAGTCTACTAGTTAGAAATAAATATAATTAACTTTAAAATATTTACATTATCGTTAGTAAAATTGTCATTATATTTTAGTACAATGTGATAAATTATGCTACGGGGTAAAACCGAATGCTAGCTAATTTGATTTTACAATACAAAAACTTCCACGATATTGCACTTCGTATGTTTATATTTGACAAATACTTAAGTTAACATGTGTCTAGGTGATCTTCAGTACCTAAGTATACTTAAAACACGAGATTAAATATTAAAATAGTAAATAGAGAGAGAAGGATAAAAATATCTCTCTCTCTAACTCCTCTGGGTAAGAAAACCTACGACTTCAAGTCAAGATTAGCGTAACAATCAATTTAGGGCAAACGGGCAGGAGGCTCGTATGATGTAAGTCATACCACTGCCCATGGGCACTCTCAATGCCAGAGGGCACGCTCCTTGCCGACACCTCTAAACACTCTCCATGGCACATGCGGTAGAAGGTGCAGACACAGAATTTATTATAACAGAAAAGACTTGTCACAAAAACTATTAGAAAACTTAAGAACACTTAACAACCATATTAAGTTATTCTGATTTTTGTTACGATAGCATTTTTTTTTTCAGTGCACAACGCTTTTACAATTCAAACTTTTTACCCTGTTACCTTATGGCGTTTGACATAACATTGACAGAATGCGTTTAAATTTACATACGCGCCAGAAAACAAACAAAGAATGTTGTATATCATAAAGCATTAGAATAATAAACACTTTGTTTCTGAAATATTTTTTTAGTTAATTATACCAATTCGAAATCAATATTCATAGTTAAGACAGGACAAAGTCTGTCGGGTCCGCTAGTAACTAATAAAGAATCGTTTGATATTACGTGTGGTTTTGAAAATTATATGAGTCGCATTTCGGAAAGCAGAAGTGTTGTCTAAAGACTCGCAATTCGCGTCAAATTAGTTGGCCATTGTTTGTGTTTATAATTAATCAGCAGAAAAGTTATTTGTTTAAAGTGACTCACACGTATCCGCAATCAACAATACATTGTCTCTGATTAATAAGGAAACAAATGATTATTGAAGTGTGATTGATGTCAACAAAAACAATTTAAATAATGTTCTAATAATTGCTTGGATATGTCTTAACGTGACTTCTTTTGGTTACAAACACGTTTTTCCTTCTTTTTTTCTTCTCCGTTGCTTGTATATTTATATATGTTCAATGACTTATTTAAATATTACGGTGGATCACGTGTTGGAACCAAAATGATTAAGCCCTAAAGAGATGACCGGATATTGTGAGGGTAGCAATAGTCTTGTGGTCTTTTGGTAGAATGCTGACGCGACCCCAAGTTTCCATTTATGACAATGTGTTGGAGGGATTTAGTCAGCCTTTATAGCGAATCATACATTCGGTGCGGAGATGCATTCCCCTTGATAACAGGTATTCATTTGTCAACCTAGGTGGAAATGGTTTTTGATGCCCAAGTGCGAAGTCGATATTTGTCAACGTAAGGAGATGACAGTGTAATATGAGGTTAGCAATAGCAACTAGTCTCCTGGTCTGTTGGTAGTAGGAGTCGCGTCGACTCCAAGTTTCCTTTAATGACAATGAGTTTGTGGGGTTAAGTGAGTAGTCCCACATTCTGTCTGGAACTGCGTTCCCCTTGATAAATAGAAGGCATTTATTAGTGAACCTATGTGGAAATGTTTTTGATGGGGTCTGTTTCTATTATCTCTCTGGAGTCTGTTCTAATTCTATTCCACAGTGAGTAGAGGAGTTGTGTCACTGGTACTTCGCATCCAAGGAAGCCATGAAAAGCTGAGATACAATAACACATAGGTATTTGTAATGATTTGCATGTGAAGATACAGTTCACATTCCAACTTCGATTTTGGAGTAGAGACTCGGGCCTTGGGATTCAAGTGCATAGGCGCTTATTAAAGATTAAAGTTGGCGCCTAGTAGATAGTACCCGTGACGCCAGAGCTGACACTTTCCTGGCTCAACGAATAAGTATCGCAATACAGCGAGGAAATGCTGCCAGCATAAAAGGTACACACACTGCCACAGGGACAAACTTTTTAAATTTGTTTTGATTTTCTTTTTAATAATTTTTATTATTACTTTGGAGGTTAAGAAAATTGTAAATACTGTGTACTTGATTGTAAATAAAATAAATTTAATAAATGTTGACTATTTGCGGGTCCAACATTTTTTGTGAAGTTAAAGAGTTATATTACTACGAAACGTATTTTCTTAAACCGATTTCATATAAAGTTCCTAAAGGGTTTTCCTCAAACATCAAGTCCTAAGAAAATACTTAGTGCAAATATTATATTTATTTATAAAGGATGGAGGTTGTTTATTTTGTCTGTTTGTTTTACTTCTGTCAATATTGAGATCTGCCATCTGTTTACACCTGCGCACTTTTACCTTATCTACAAGGCTATACTTATAACTACGGTATTATATGCATAAACTCAGATTGAAACGTTGAGTAATGAAAAACTTTTAATCACCAAAGTATATATACGCTCTTAGACCAAGCCTAGGGGCTTCAGCTTGTGACTCCCATCCAGGTCGTAGGGTTGTAGGCTGTGCACCAATGGACTTTATTTCTATGTAATTTAACATTTGCTCGAACGGTGAAGGAAAACATCGTGAGGAATGCTTGCCTTAGACACAAAAAGTCGTCGTGTGTCAGGCACCTATTAGATTAATCATGATCAAGATACAGAAATCTGGAGCCCAGACATAAAAAGGTTGTAGCGCCACAGATTTTTTGTTTTTTATATTATACGTTGTGATAAAAAGAGACAAATGTATTTTGGTAATATTATTAGACTGAGCAGATAAAGTTCTGCTGTTACCGCATCCCGCCTAGGGTGGTGGTGCTTTGGGGTTTAAGGGGGTACTGGGTAGCGAGTCCCACATAACTACCGTGACCAGACGTCCCGTTTTGAACGGTACTGTCCCTTTTTCCAATTACGAGTCCCGGTGTCCCCAAAATGAACTGTGGGATGCAAAATTGTCCCGTTTTCAGAAACCGCGCGAAAATTTAAGCAGAATATAAAAACTTCCCAAGAGTTTCATTCTTATTTGAAATCGCCATATTAAAACAAATTTGTTCTTCTGATAAATAAAAATATAACTAAACATTTATATTTCATATCATATATGATATCACATATCATATATATCATATTTTGTGATTCGTAATTTTTAAGCCAACTAACTTTTTCTAAATAAATAACTTTAAAAAAGTGTTTTTTTTTTTTCATTGACTACTTATTATTTGACCTAAATTAAACCAATGTCCCGTTTTGAGTTACAGAATTAATGGTCACTTTACACGTAACCCTTTCATACTAAGTAGTCGTGGATGGGAAAGCGCAACGCATTTCCCCAACAAAAAAGGATTATTACACTGATTTACTGACAGAAGTTGACAAACAAGAAGTGAATCATAAAAATGTATTGCCATAAATTGTCTGATGGAACGTGGAAGTCCTTATTTTGATTTCCACGCAGAGAATAATTGTATTGGTTAAATTGTACACAATATTGATTGATTTTTGCCGTTATATAGATGATTTAAATGCAAAATTGGGTATGCCCCACTAACATATCTTTACATAAGCAAACAATACGTCATGATTGTAGAACAATGTCAGATTTGAAAAAATCCAAAATCCACTTTTTGTCATATTTGTATACTACATTGACTAAATATTACAGCTACATTAAAAAAAATCCATGTGTAAATTAAAAAAATTAATTAAATTAATTATTTCAAATTAATCCGTCGGTAAAGTGACGGATTTGTAAAACGTGTGATTTTTCTAAAAAAACTGTGTAATTTAATGCCATTATTTTTATTTTGTTTCAAAACAAAGCCTTTTGTTTGCTTGTATGTCAATTTTCATAATAAAGGAATATGAATTAAAATAGTTATGACAAAAACTTGCTTATTTGTTTTATTTTTCGTATATAATATTGTTTATCTATGTAATCTGTTTTGGCTTTCTGTACTAAGTGTTTGTTTTATAATAGTATGTATGTTAGCTGTAAGATTACTTATAATTAAATAAATAAATAAAACTAACATGATTATATTATTTTAAAATGGCTGCCCTATTAAGTTTACTATTTGTCAGATCCGACACTATTCTACTACCAATAGTTATGGTAAGATAGCAACGAAAAATCGATTTTTAAACTTGCGAGATGACTCCAAATGGAAATGTGTGTTCATAATTTATTATATTTAAGAAAACTTACCGGATCATCGAAAATTTCTTCAATTCTGGTATATATGTCTTTTCCCCTCTTCTGTCGCACCAAAAGGTAGAGATTTTCAACCCTTGGACAACTTCGAAGCAGCTTTTCCACCAGAACTTTTCCGAGAAAACCTTTGGAATTATAAATTTATGCGAATTAGTTTCGTTCTTTAAAGGTATGATCTGAAAGGTTGATTAGCAATTTTCTGATTTATTTTAATCTAAATGTACCACTGTTATTGGCAAATAAACGATTTATTATTATTATTACCTGTAGCACCAGTGATGAGCACATTCTTGCCATCATAAAACTTCTGAATTTCAGACATACGCCGAGTCTCGTTCATATTTTGATCAACATTATCTCTAGAACATTCGATGCAGTATTTTTTATCAGTAACAACACCTTTTGAATTTTTGCACATTCCATTTTGATTCCTTAAGTTTTCCCGCGCAATTCCTTCGGGGACTGTCGACGCCATCTTGCTTGTCTATTCCGATATCATGTCTGTGGACAAAGAATGTAAATATCGTTATAGCGAACTGTATTTTACAAAAATCATTTTAATTACTTGTGATAATACTGTATGTATTAAATGTTATTTTTTATATCGCCATAAAGATCAGGTTGTCACCAACACTTTGACTGACTTAAGATCTCTAATTTAACAATTGACATAGGAGCAAAAAACAAAAGTTATTGGTGTTAATAATATTTTAATAGGGTCATATTATAATATTGTCTTTAATCCGTCTAAGAACTAATGACCATTATTCACGGTTTATGTGTGATATTCAAAAACTGGACTTTTTGAATATCACCATTCACCGCACGCGCTATTCCCTCCGCTTTCATAATCCAATAAAATGGTCTAATATTATGAATTATAAATAATAAACACAAATTTTAAGTGCATCAATATAGCCATTTTGAAATTAAATACGAATGAGAAGAAATACGAATGAATGAATTGCAATTTATTAGGGCAGAATAATAATATGTTGAATTTTTGATGATTATTCGTAATGCAGGACTTATTTGATTACTCAGATTACCTTGCATTCATTTTTTTATAATATATATTATTATTTTCTCATATGCAGTCGTATCATTAGCGACAAAGGAAATTTAAAATGATGTCACTGTACTATCGGAGATCACTTGCTGGTGTTACGTTCTTATACAAATTGCTAAATGATCAAATACAGAACATTAACATTGTCGTCCCTTATTCATTCCCAAGGTTTACCCTGCAATACGAATGGGCAGAATTTGCATTTGTCTGCAAAAACCAACCTAGTTCAGGCACCTCTTATTCAATTTTTTCGCGAATATAAAAAAATAGACACTAGTTATCCAGAGATAATATATTCGGTAGTGGGCTGATTAATTAAAAAAAACCATTGTTAAGAGGTCTATCTTTACTAGTAATTTTAGTAATGTAAAACTGGAAGTGTAATATTTTTATTAATAAATTGTTTTAAACATTTAAGTTTGCCATTGTAAATAATATATTATATATATATATTTATTATATATTGTCATATATTTTAGAAAAACATATACTGAATATATAGCATTATATATTATGTAATGAACTTAAAGAAATAAATATAATGTCTTTCCTCCGACTTCCATTTTAGAGTAGACACTTGGGCCGTGGGGTTCAAGTGCACAGGCGCTTATTAAAGATTTAAGTTTGCGCCTAGTAGATAGTACCGGTGACCCCAGAGATGGTGCTTTCTGAATTAATTATCGACAGTTTGTTTAATTGTTACCAGGTTTCCGAGCTTATTAAATATGCTTATCTTAAAAGCTAGTAAGTAAATAAGCAATTGTATTAACAATAATATATCCACACTGATATTCCCTACACCCAAGCACAAAATTACCCGGACCTACAAAAGTCACAACAGTAAGAAGGGATACTTACAAAAATAAATGAATATAACTCGCGTGCTTGCACTCGTAATTTTGTATGATAAATGACGATCTGCTGTAATGTCTTTTAGGTAAACTGGTCATCTTCAGGGCTAACTATATACCTTTATACCTATACAATTATACATATATGTTATATAGCTCCTAAGTATATCTCATGATGCGCCATTGTGTATTTTTTACGCGATTTTTACTATTTTGATAATTTAACACCCTTTTTTGTGCCATATATTACATACATAATTTTAAATGTTAAAAAAAAATAGGTTTTAGGAAAGTACTAGAAACTTGTTAACGAAACTCAGTAGGTATATTTTCAAAATAATGAAAAACTGAAATTTAAATAAGTTTAATAAATTTTCGAATAGCCCTTTTGCAAACAAATTTAGATTGAACGGCTCGATATTGTGTCAGAATTAAGAATATTTATAGTATTTTAAGATGTAGATCTCGCTACAAATGGTTCTCACATAATGTTTGTTTTTTTATATGTATTTCTGATTTGTTGTAAACTATCCCGCGAAACCATCCCGCAATATAATCTTTTGTCAAAACAGCTCTCATCAGCTGTTTATCTTAAGATTCACAAACGTGACTTAGCGCGAACAACAAACAGGCAGGAAGCTCATCTCACCAAATTGGTTGAGGTTGCAGAGTGACCCAAGGGAGATCCCGTTGCGTTGCGTTGGCGTGCGGCTAGATAGCCGCTCGGAAAGGGATTGGTCGTCGACGATTCGAACCGCTCTTCTTTGAATACGGACAAGTGGAAGGAGCTGGCACTGGGCGACTCTCCTGACCGGAGGTGAACAGTCTTCCATGTGAGGCCGAATTTGCGCTTTTGTCAAAATCCAATCAAATTTTGGGTTTACCCCCAAATTTAAGAGGAATTAAGATGTCCAGGGGGTCTTAGAGGTACATTTATTTAGGCGGATTTTCAGGATTTCTTTTTTAACAGAATATTTAACAATTAAAGCCTCGATCCTAACTAACAACATAAACCAAATATCATTTCCATGCGTGGCTTTAACTGAAATATCTAAAAGTTATAATACTTCACGATCGAAATAACAGCATGCTTTATACTTGCATGTATTTTTCATGTATATTTCAAATTACCTCTCAAACCGAGTGTACAATAAAATCCTTGGGGATTTTTAATCGGTATTTATACTAGGGTGATTTGAAGTTGAAGGGTGGAGATTCTGTAGAATACACGCGAAGTCCTGCAGTAATATAAATCTTTACATAACAGACACACAATCAAGGTTTTTAATAATTTACCAAAAACATTCAAAGATCTTTCTACTAGAGTTTGATCGATGATTTGATTTGAATTGACTATAATGATATGACTGATAATGTATGTAAATTCTATGTAAAATTTCATGTGGGATCTCTCTGCATCTTCTACCGCATTTACCATGGAGAGTGTTCAGAGGAGTTGTTCGGTATAATACCTGCAGCTGAGTTTCATCATCGGACGTCTAGACAAAATACCATCCGTATCACCTCGACGTCCGTCGTTCCACAACTGAGCGTTTTCTAAGGCAGTTTTTGACGCGCACCACCACTATGTGGAACCAGCTGCCCACAGAAGTATTTCCGAACCAATTCGACAGGCCAGTTAGTAAAATGGTTTTACATTTTTAATTAATATAGTTAAATAATAACTTGTAAAATCTAAATCTTTTTCAATCCTTTTTAATATAGTTAAAGTTAAAATTTTCAATTTGTTCCAGTCAATGACAATGAATCCAAAAATGTGGTTCTTTTTTGTGGGGATCATTTATTTTGTATGACAAACTAGAATATTGAGTAATAAATCCATTTTTCCATCTTCATTCTTATTTGCGCTTTGAAGAGTTTGAAGTGTCAAATTAATCTAAATAACACGATATAAATAAAGTTGTTTTTCTGTGATTTAATACGTTTACACTTTTTACGATACTTAAATATATAAATAAGATGTCCCAAACAGCCAACGGTCAAATAAGTAAGTTCAAACATATTTTCGTGTTATTTATTCCGGTTTATCTTGTTTTCTAATAGAAAGTAATACATTTATGTTTTGTTAAAGGGACCATACTCTAACTTCCCAAAAAAAACTCCAAACTGGTGATGCTTCTCAAGATTACACAGTCGTAACCTCAAACAACTATCACTCAGCAATCTACAAAAAGATCAGCTTGGAAATCTCTGTACGTTTTCAACTCAGATGGGTCTAGACACCAAGTGTTAAATTTAATATACATTTAATGAAGGTGTAGGCACATTTTTTATATTTATTCTTGTATAGCTGTGTCCTACAACAAAAGGAAAAATCTTTTAACCCTTTGGAAACAAGGAAGCGGATTATGATCCACACGGATAAAAAAAAAATTGAGTTTAAAACAAAGACAAATAAGAGAGGATGATTTGTTCAATTATGCTTAAGAAGAGCATCAAAAACATTTGCTCACCAATAGAGGCCCACCAAAAATTCATACTCATAAAGAGGAGGTCACAAAAGTATCACAGATGGAAGAAAACACAATAAATATATTAGCAGCAAAAAGAGTTCATCAAATTGAGGTGAAATCAAGAAGAAACAATTAGAAAATATTTAATTGCTACTTTAGGGTTTCATGTAAATTTTGTTATGTTTTTTTAATAAAAATGGTTTGTATTTAAGTTATAATTAAACAGTTTATTAATCAAGTCAAATGTTTTATTTATAAATTCTTGTAATAAAGTAGATAGATGCTAACTCACAAATGTAATAAAAGCCCTAAAGAATATCATAGGTCCCTAACTAATGTGTAGCTGTAGTTTTTAGTATAAGTACATACTTGTATGTACTTATAATAATTATAAGTTAATATTATTAGTAATATATAAATAATATTAACTCTAATTCATTATGTATTCTATTGCCTATAATATTAACTTATAATAATTATAAGTTAATATTATAGGCAATAAACACATAATGAATTAGTAATATACTTAATTATATACTGCTGCGGTTCTGTAGCTAGTAATGAAGCAAAATAGGTTTGTATGAGCTGCTGTCTATATATACTCTTGTTCTTGTATTTTATTTAATTATAATAATTATAAGTTAATATTATAGGCAATAAAACACATAATGAATTAGTAATATACTTAATTATATACTGCTGCGGTTCTGTAGTTAGTAATGAAGCAAAATAGGTTGGTATGAGCTGCTGTCTATATATACTCTTGTTATTGGCAGTTTAAGATCATTCCCAATTTCAGTAACAATCCAGAGCACTGTTCCCTTCGATAGGGGTAACAGTGGCAAAAATCTACATCATCCCAGGTTTCTAATGGCGGATGCCATTGCCTAAATATTTTTGGTCACTCATTAACAATTCTCATATAATATTATCGTCTTCTTCATGTCTCATTAATTAAAGTATCTCAATATGTTTAAATTCATCATTAGATAGTAATAAACGTATTTATCATAGTTTGATTTCTGTGACAAACAGCTTTAGTATATAAATTACCACCCATCTTTTTAACCCTCCGATACTG